CTGGGAGCAGAACAAGCGGCTGTCAGTCTTCTCAGTGGACCACCCTGGTTACCTCTGGATGAGTGGCAAGGTGCTTGGGTAGTCCTTGCCGTGAACTGAGAACCAAACAGACTGGATCTGTCCAGGGAGCTGAGCCCACACCTAGGGTACTTAGCGCTCACATAAAGGGCCACCTTTAATTATGGGAAAACAAAAGACTGGAGCCCATTTCCAAGGGCACCGATAAAGTATCTGTTACTCACTGATGGAATGAATGGAGCCAGAGTCAAATCTCTATGGCTTATCAATGGTGCTGCCTGGCAGCATTAATCAGACAGCTGATTAGCTGAATTCAGTGCTGATAAGTGATCATGAGATGCAGGCCAATTGAGAGCAGCGGGCGGGTGCTGCAAGGTGTGAGCGGCTGCCTGGCGCTGGCTCTCCTGGTGGCTGGCTTGGCACGGCTCACGCTGTTGGCTCGCCGTGCTTTGACAAGGCCATCAGGAGGCCGGCCAGAGGTTGAAGGCTCTGCTGGTTTAGGTCTCTTATGACACGTTCTAGGTGTGGAGGAACTGTACCAGTGGGTGTGACCCACAAATGCCCGCTAGGTGTAAAACGTTCCCCAGGAGGGTCTAAGCAAATGATGCTTCCTCCCCTCTCCCTGGGAGAGGAAAATGGCAGATCACAGGCACTGAACTTGGGGTAGAACAGGAGTCCAAGGCCTGCTCTGTTACTCTGATAGCCAGTGGCTATCCTCCTCTGGGACCTGGTCTTATCATCTGTGCAATGAGACAAACGATCACACCTGGCTGGGCTACGGGGCTGGATTGAATGACCTGGTTTTCTTCAAGGGCCAAGTACGCACCCCTCTTCTCTCCCCTTCATCCTGTCCAAGTTATTGCCTTGAAATAAAGTTGCTGCAGGGCAGCCTGGCTCACGAATACCTGCAGCTCCTGCAAATGAAACTAGAGGAAATTAAAGTCTCAGGCATCATGGCATACCCAGGGCATCTCAGGCCTTCCTCACTTGTAGATGAAATTAAAACGAAGCCAGAGAAATCAAGTGGCTGCTCCGGGTCACAGCAGGTCAGCAGCAGAGCAGGGCTCCAGAGCCTGAGGCTTCCAGGTGCTACGTGTGGGTGTCGTAACAGAAAACAAGTGACGTGGCTTAAGTGGCACTGGGATTTACCATCTAATTCACAGAAGGGTATCAGTGCCAGGGCTTAGCCCTTTATGTGCAGGGGCAGGATCCAGTCTAGGTGATATGAGCCTAGCTAGCTATCTGCTACAGGGCAGGAGCACCCAGAAAATTACTGGAGTGGCTGCAGGAGGGGGCTTTGAGCTATATTTCTAGAATGGAGCCCAAGCCACTCAGAGCCCACCTGCGGGACTGCCCCCCTTCACCCCACATCAGAGCCGTTGCCTCTCCTGCCAGGAAGTGGGGGATGGCAGGTGGGCCAGATATGGAGAGATTCACCAGGAGGGGCGAGAGATGAGGCCCTCAGTCCAGCTTCCTAGCCTCCAGCCAGAGCCTCTCCCTAGCAGGGGCTGGGTCTCCTCATTCTTATCCAGACCCCTGGTGGAGCCTCCCCTGGGACAAGGAGGGTGGAAGGTGGTGGAGGTTACCAAATGGCGTCAGCACACCCTTCCCAAGATGAAGCAAGCAAACTCTGTGGGTTGAATATGGTCGTCTCCTCCAAACCAGTTTAACCCCCACTGCAGGTATGAGGAGTGTAGGGACTCAACCTGGCTGTAGTGCTGAGGGGTGGGGCCCTGGGAGGTGAGTGGGACTCCATAAGGCCTGATCCACGTTATTCAGAACACACATCATTGTCTTTGGGGATGAATTGACTTATACATTTCTTGAGAGTCTATCTCCTCGACCAGAATGCAGGATCTATAAATGCAGGGCCTGTGTTTTTGTTCAAGCTGGAATCTTGGCTGACAAATGGGTAAGAAAATGACAAATGCTTGTTGAATGAATGAATGAACTGTCAAAGGGCAAAACTAATGTTCCCCACTAAAGCTGCTACCAGGAGAAATGATACAGTGTTGAGACCAACGCCAGCCCAAGAACTTAAAACTTCCTTTTGTGTTCCATTCTTTGCTTTTACCTCTAGTAGGACGCAGCAGAGTCAGACCTTGCTGTTGAATTTGTAGGATGACCAAAGCTGTTTTATGAGGCCAACATATAGCCCTCATTTCCATGTGTTCAGTAATTTATTATGTATAGGTCTTATTATGTGTAAGGAAATCCTGAGCCAAATTAGCAAGTTCTGTCTTTCATTTTATGCAATATTAGCAATTTGGAATTTAAGCACAAACAAACAAAAGATCTGAAATTGCCTCTTTGACTTAGGAAGGAACCCAGCATATGTGGAAGCAACAGGTTTCCTTTTTCCAATAACTCTCCTCTCTTATAAATCATGCTAATTGTCTCCATGTGCCCACAGCCTGCGGGGAGCTTTGCAATAGCCTTTGAGGAGATTAGTGCTCTCTGATGTTCCTTATGAAATTCATAAAAGCATCTGGAAGTAATTTAAGTTAAGGAATAAATGATTTTGAGGTTAAATAATACACTACTTAAAAAAAATAAACACAGGAAACTCTATTAGCCCATGAACCTCTAGGTTCACACCTCCATTCCTGTGGATTACCTAACCAACATAAATGATGACCACGTCATCCCTCAGATTTGTTGGATCTGTATTTTGTTTGATTGATTTTTAGAAGATAAATTAAATGAGATCCCACAGTTAGACTTGCATAGGGGGAGCTCCCTGTTTCCTAGGTCTACTTCTGCAGGGATGAGAAAGACAACCTCTGGGATGCTGGGAGGCCTTGGCCCAGTGTGCAGGGCTTTGTTACAAAGCAGAATGGCCACACAGTCAGGTGGGCTTACCAGACTGAAGGTCATCTTCCCTTTTTTAAAAAAAATTTCCCCTTCATTTTGAGTGGCTATGTATTGTGTTGTGGTGGGTTCAATTTCCTCTTGTTTTGTTTATTTGCAGGGTGGAGTCCTTAATCCAGGGACCACATCTGGCTTTGCACAAGAAGAGCAATGTTCTGTGCCAAAAGGAAAGTCGCAGTGCAGGGGAGGGGCAGCTGTTGGTCTGCAAGGGAGAGCAGGGCAGGGGAGGCCCCAATCCAGGGCTTTTATTTTTTGTTCCTATTATAGGATAGGAGGGAGAGAGGATGAAGCAGATTCCAATCCCTCCGTCAGAAATAATGGGAGATGTTGAATTTCTCCCTGATGGCGGGAGGCTAGGAACATTTAATTGAAAAATATTTATTCTCCAATGACTTCCAGGCTGAAGAAGAAGAAAGAAGGAAGAAGGAAGAAGAAGAAGAAGAAGAAGAAGAAGAAGAAGAAGAAGAAGAAGAAGAGGAGGAGGAGGAGGAAAATAATGTGCCTTTCTTTTTAGGAGCCCTACCTCTACTCCACGACTGCTCCCCACTAGCTAGGCCCTGATGGGCGATTACCAGCATAATCCACTTAAAAAAATTAAGTCTCTACTCCCCAGGCCTATAAGACCTTTTGGGCTTGGCCGGCTCCCCAAGCTAAAGGAGAAACAATGAAGCATCATATGCTGCAGCCTGGGCCATAGAATCTCCAGCCCCACCCCCGCCCCCAGCAGGGAGAGGCTCCAGAGCTAGGGGTGCTCCAAAGACCTGGTTCCATCCCTGATTTCTCCTTGTATGAGACTCATATTCCCTTGAAGCTGAGTTGAGGGACGTTTCTCCTTTATCAACCAAGGACTTCTTTTCTTTCATCTCAAAATTCTTTCCTCGAGGGCAGGCGAAACATAACCCAGTCGTCCTTCCTTCTGAGGTTGGTCTGAGCTCACCTAGGGTGAGAGCCAGGAGCCCAGGGTAGGTGGGGACCACCAGGACCGGGGTGCCGTAGCTGATGCAGGACTGGGCCAGGTTTCCAGTCTCAGAACCCATCGCCTTAGGCCCCCAGACACCAGAGGGAGCCGGGGTCCCGCCCTCTCGTTGCTTGCACCTGGTGGAGGGGGAAGCCTCAGAGTCCACAAAGCAGCAGAGACTGCTCCAGGGTCCTGCGACGCCCGCGAGGGGAGCGCTGGGAAAACCTGAGAGGACAGAGAACAGGTCAGGAAGCGGTGGCGAGGACAGCCCTTCCCAGATCTGTATCCGCAGAGAAACTGCTCTTGCCGGACAAGCCTGGGGCACGAGTGTGTGGCAGCAGCGAGCTGGGTTTTGTTGTGTTCCCCCCCCCCCCCAACAATTAATAAAAAACACGTGCGGCGCGACGTGCGAACCCAGTCCCCTTCCTGAAACTGCTGGTGCCTTGTGTTCGCCACGCACCATGCTACACCTATGCGCATCTGCAACCATCCGAGTTCCTGCACGTGCTTTCCCCACTAAATAATGCTTCTGGGAGATCCTCCTCGGCAGCCGCACCTGACTTTTAAATCCAGATGGCTCCAGATCTCAGAGCTAAAGTGAGGAATGGCTTGAAGATGACGTTGGGGTGTGACGACCACCGGGCCCCGCAGTGAGCACAGGAGGCGGCGACCGGAGGGTCCAGCTCCATCCTGCGTGCAGGGTGCCTGGGCATGACACTGCACGAAGGCAAGCGGCTGCGAACACCGGGTTTCGCGGTGCTTGCGTCGCCCCTGTCCTCATCTCCTCTCGTTTTCCCCTCCTCCAAGGTCCTCCCCACCCGCAGGCGCACTCCTAGTCCCCGCTCCCCGCCCCCTCCATTCATCACGGGTGGTGGGCGGGGTGGGGTGGGGGCCTGGTGGGCGGGGCCTGGGCGGGGTGGCGGGGGCGGTGGTGGGCGGGACCGGGGGGCAGGACCGCTCGGCAGCGGTGGCGGCTGCGGCGGCTGCTGGGGAAAAGTTGTCCCGGCCAGAGCGCCAGCAGCCGCGGAAGCCGGAGCGCCGCGGCGTGAACGCCGAGAAGCAGCCGAAGGGACACCGCGGCTGCCGGGATGGCCCGGGGCATGGAGCAGCAGGCGGGGGCCGCGGGCGGGCGCTGCGCCCCGGGCTGGCAGCGGACGGCGAGAGCGGCCGGGAGCAGGATGCGCTCCAAGGGCGAGGCCCCTGGGCCGGCGGCGCCGCTGTGAGGGGCGCTGAGCCTGGTGTTGAGCGCGCTGCTGGGCAAAGGTAAGGCCAGGCGGGAGTCGACCGCATCGGATTCTTAGTTCACTAGAAGTTGCATGCAAAAATGCTATTAGATACTCTCTTGGCTTCTGCCAGGGTGGTCACATAAATGATCTTCTTGATCCTGAAAAAATAATCAGCAATTCCAGCTTCCCTTGAAAGAGCACATACCCTGCTATCCCCAGGCACAAGTTCCCATGTGGCTCCTTTGCACCCATGTGAGCAGGCATGTCCTTCTCTGAAGGTGCTTATGCATGCTTCTCTTCCCCCACTCACCTGCCTGGTCCTCATGACCCACTGTACACTTGATCACGAGAATGGCCAGAGTCAGGCAGGGAAGAGCCTAAACTCTCTAGTTAGCACCGACAACAGCGTAAGTGGAAAAGAAAGCCTCTGGATATTAGATGTTGCACACATCTGCAGGCCTGAAGAGCAAGGTTAATAAAAATGAGTCCTTGCTGTATTAATTGGAGTAAAGGGGAATATTACTGAATTAATGGAATAAAGGAATGGCTGATTGACAGACATTTTTATAATCATCTACTTTTTTTAAAAGCTGGATTTATTAAGGTGTAGACTGCATAGGGTGAAATTCACCCTTTCAAGTGAGTTTTGACAAATGTACCATCCTTGTGCATTGTACAGAGTATAAATGTGGCACAATGGAGATATAATGCATTTCCATCAGCCTCAGAAGCTCCTCTGTTCCTGGGTAGTCACCTCCCTCCTCCACCCCAGCCTCCAGCAACCCCCCATCTGTTTTGCCCCGGGATTTTGGCCTTTTCCTTCAAGCCAAAAAAGGGGTGGTGCAGTGAACATGTTGTGAACATTCACAAACACCTTTTTAATATCAATGTGTTTTCATTTCTCTTGGAATTTCTAGGCAGCTTGGTGATTCCACTGCAAACTCATTTTAAAATGTGGTTTGGACGTTTTTCATTCTTTCTAGGCTATGGATAAATGTCACAGCTCTTTTGTATCTTCATCAGCACTTGATATTATTTGATATTATTGTTTGTTTGATTTTGGTAGATTGGCAGCAGGTATTTTGTTGAGATTTTTAACTTCACTCCTGACAGTGGTGAATATTCTTATTTGTGTTTAATTGCTATTCTTATTATTGGCGAAATGTGTTTTTCAAACATTGTGCCCATATTTTATTGGTTGTTTATTTTCTTATTATTGACCTTTGAGGGTATTTTGTGTATTATGTCTGCAAGGTCTTTATTAGATTTTGTTTTACCGACATTTTCTCCCATTGCATCTTTGGTGGAGCAGAGATTTTAAATTTTAATGAATCTAGTTGATTTATCTTTTCTCTTAATGATTGTGTTTTTGGTGTCACATCTAAGCAGTCTTTGCCTAACTCAAGGTCAAAAGGATTCTATATATTCCAATTGGTATGTTTGTTCTCTTAGTTACTGAGAATGCTTATATCACTGAGTTTGGCTTTGTCTATTTAAATTTTATTCTGCCAACTTTTGCTTTGATTATTTCGAAGCACTGTACCCTCTGCATTATTATGTCCTTTGGTTGAATCACATCCATTAGTATAACGTAATGCCTCTCTTTATTCTTGGACATATTCCATGCTCTGAAGTCCATTTCAGATATTAATGTGGCTGTCTCAGCTTTCTTTCAAGTAGCATTTATGTTCCATTTTTTTGTTTTAGTGTTTAGCATTGACCTTTTCAGAAAGCACACAGTCCCAACGGAAACCCATTCACTTGTTCTTTCAGTCTGATGGTCTTTGTCTTTTAAACATTGTGTTTAGGCCATTTATATTTAATGTGATTATCCATAGATTTACATTAAGAGCCAACATTTTGCTCAGGGGTTTCTTCATGCCCCATCTGTTCTGTATTTTTTGCCCCTCCTTCTTCTGCCTGATTTTGGACTAGGTGTTTTTGTGATTCCATTTTATCTTCATGATTGGCTCATTACTTAGAGTTCTTTTTAAGTTTTAATCATTGCCCTAAGGTTTAAAAAGTGCATCTTTAATTAATCAAAGCTTATATTTGAGTTATGTTATACACAGGAAACTTGAAAGCGTATATTCCCAGGGCTTTTTCCTGTTCATGTGATTCTTTTTCAAGCACACAGTCTCTTACACCATAGGTGTGGCTATAAGAATTGTCAATTAAAGATTATTTGTGCATAATTATAAAAAATGAAAATCACACTTACTTGGCTTGCACCTGTTTCTGAGAGGGCACTTCTGATATCCTTGGAATAATTTTCCCTGCAGGATTTTATTCTCTCTTCTACTTGCATAGTGAGTTCTCTCATTTATGTACCCTAGGGATTGAGAAGTTGCTGCTTTCAAGGAAAGAAGACAGGTGATGTCCACCCCAGCTGTCAGGGGAGTTAGCAAAGTCTCTGAGACAATGAGTTCCAGCTACTCTCCGATGGCATGATTTCTCCTCTTCTGTAATATGCACACATTCTTTAATTAATGCTCTTCGTATAGGTGTGTTCAGACCGTCACACTTGCAGATGGCTGGCCCCCTAGAGCTGCCCCAAGGTTCTGTGTAGAAGATCCTCTCTTCTCTCTGTAAAACACTTCTTTCTTTCTCAGCAAACTTTGTGCGCTCAGCAGTGGGGTGAGGGTTTGCTCATGAACGAATGGGGTGGAGGGACCACAGTCTGTGTCAGAGAAGCAGAGACTTCATTTTGAGCCACTGTTCTGCCGGTTTCTGAGTGAGTTGGTCAGAAGTCTTTGGTTGTTATCAGTCAAAACATTGGAGAGCCACCTAGGAAGGAAGTCCTCAGGGATGGGGAGTTCACCATCCCACTGCAGGCTGGAGGGCCAGGTTTCCTGAGAGGAGAGCCTGCCTGCTCGGGTTTGCTGATGCCTGCTTTCTGCAGGGCACCCTGACAGGATATGGGGCTTCAGTCATTTTATTCACTTTTATGCTCAGTTTATGGATCCCAGAGAGAAGGAAGCTCACAACCTTACTGAACCTTAGAAGCATCTGGAGAATTAATAAAAATTAAAATAAAAATAAAAAACACCAATCCTTAGACCTGCCCCAATGTGATTGAGTGGGGATCTTGGTAGCAGAGCAGGGAGTAGGTGAGGGGAGGGTGGATCACTTTTGATCCTTTTAAAGATCTGCGAGTGCTTCTAAGGTACAGTCAGGGGTGTGACCAGGTCACATAGGTTCTTCTCTGTCTAGAAGAGACAGCTTGACGGACAGTCCCCCCCATTTCCTATCCAAGGAAAAAGGAAAAGTGCTCTTATCTAAGAGGCTGGGTGGTCGCTGAAGGCAAAGCCCAGGATGCCCTTCCCACTGCCCCAGGCCTGCTGGACAGTGGGGACCATGTTGGGGGGCAGCTCTGCTGAGCCCCAGGTGCCCTTCGGTCAGGTGAGGCAGCTCACAGTGAGCGGGTGGGCTTGCGCTCCTGGTGCAGTGTGTGGGTCTTCCAGGGCTGTGGCGCCTGGCAGGGACCACAACAGGGCAGCTTCATGCACAGCGAGGCCCAGGCTCCAGACTTGGCAGGCCGTGTGTCTCCCAGGGGGATCCGCACTGCCTCCTCCAGCTCCGGGGCTCCAGGGGCCTTTGGCGTCTGGCTGCATCTCCCCAGCCGGTCTTCTCCACATGTCCCTCCCTTCTGTCTTAAAAGGACACCTGTCATTGGATGTGAGGCCCGCTGTCCTCCAGCTGATCCTTTTGAGATCCCAAACTTAATGACACCTGCCAGGACCTGCTGTCTCAGTAAAATGCATCCACAGGTTCAGAGAAGATGTGCCAGGGCCCTTTCCAAGAAGTGCACACAGTAGGACTCGGCAGGTAAAGAAGAGCACACTATCAGCACAGTGAAGCCGCAGATGTTTACAGCTAACCAACGTCACCAACTAACTGAACAGCGTGCTGGGCGAAGCCAGAACAGCGGACGCTGGGTAGGTGCAAGGTGGTCAGTGCAGGCCCACGCAGAGCCCGGGAGTCTCTTCTGCTGCAGCGGCGGGCACTGCTGGGCCTGGCCTCAGGGCAGTGCTCTGGACACTGTCCCCAACGCCCCTCCCCTGGGCTCCCAGAGCCACCCCAACACCAGGGCAGCTCTGAGTCTCTCGGGGTAGCTTTCTTTCTCCAGTTCTGCATCTTTCTTGCTCAGCTGGTCGCTGTGGTTTCACTGTGGTTTGTTTTCTGCTGCTCCCTCATGGTCCCAGATGCTGTAGAAATGTGGATGTTACCCCACCCACTTGGGCACATGGAGAATCACTAGCAAATGTTTGAAAGGCCAGGGATTATGGCATTCACAAAATAAAGGGACTTTAAGGACACTTTGCCCCCTTCAAGACATGCGCACGCGCACACACACATACACAAAGCTAACAGTTTCTGGTTTTATCATGAAATTGCTGCTTAGTGATGATTTCAAGAACAAACAAACAAAATAGCAAAAACAAAATCCTCACAGTGTAACAAAGAAACAAAACTCAGAAGTCTCATGCCCTGTAAACTGGGATCAGCACTGCCAATGGGGTTTTGTTTCCACTGGAAACAGTGAGGTTGTATTTGAGGCACTGGGGACAGCTTTCCCCCTCCTTACCTGATAGAAATGTTCTTGGAAGGTACACCAAATTTAGTCTTTTAGTCCTGAGTCCTTTAGTTGAAAATGCCAAAAGAACCTACCTTAAGCAAACCATATCAAAGCCAAAATGAAAAACAAAATGTTTTAGCATGGTATAACTGAGACATCCATGTGGGCTTCAGGGTCACTGGAGGGCTTTGGCACTGGAGTGGCAGGCCCTGGTTTACGCCGAGCAGTGGGTGTGAGATGGCCAGCCACTGTGTGGCAGAGGGTTGGTAGGTTGGCAAAGGTCCAGGCAGGATATAATGGCTCCCACCTGGAAGGGGCGGTCACTGCTGAGATGGAGAGGTCCAGGGGTCACTTTCAGCCCGGAGCCCCTGGGCTGGCTTCTCGGGTCACCCTGTGAGGAAATCACCTGAGGGTTCTTTGCTGCACCGTGGATTAGAAGTACTCGGAGATTAGTACTC